ACGCCTAACACTAAGATCCATAACCACCAAACCCATTCGCACTCGGAATGGTCAATCGAGGCCCGCAGCTTTGGCTCCAGGATGAGAATATTGCGGCGGTTCTCGGACGGCGCCGTCTTGCCTTTCAAAAGCATCAACCCTATCAGGCCAGCTCACGCTCATACAAGACCAGCGTGACATTTGGGCACTGCGGACATGAACTGGGCCATCGGCAGATTCACTGCTTTTGGAAACAGCAGTGGCATGGATGTCTTCCATTGTTGCGCCAAAAGGCCAGGAGTTTCTGAGACTCTCTCTGACTTTCTCTGATGCTTTCTGACTCTATCGTACTCTCTCTCGCTCTCTCTGACTTTCTCTGACATTGTCTGGCTCTCTCCGTGACTCTTTGTGACTCTCTCTGTGACTTTTCTCTGCCTCTCGCTGACTCTCTCTCTGAATCTCTCTCCGACTCTTTCTCTCTGACTCTCTCCTCTCTGACTCTTTGACTCTCTCTGGCGCTCTGACTTTGACTCTGATTTTGACTCTGACTCTAACACACTGACGCTCTGACACGCTGACATACGCTGACACTCTGACTCTCTGATTCTCTGACTCTCTGACTTTCTGATTCTCCGATTCTCCGACTCTCCGACTCTCCGAATCTCCGACTCTCCGACTCTCCGACTCTCTGACTCTCTGACTCTCTGAATCTCTGACTTTCTGACTCTCTGACCCTCTGACGCTCTGACTCTGTGACTCTCTGACTTCTGATTCTCTCTCTGACTCTCTCTCTCTCTCTCTCTCTCTCTCTAACTCTTTTGACTCTCTCTCTGACTCTGTTTTCGCCTCTCTCCTTACTCTCTCTTTGACTCTCTCTTTTTGACTCTCTCTCTCTCTCTCTCTCTCTCTCTCGCTCGCTCGCTGTGACAGTCTCTCTGATTTTCACTCACTTGAGATGCTCTGAAAATTTCTGAGGTATTCTGAGGCTTCCCCATCAACATTGGCCGCGTTGGCGAGGGGCAGCGAGAGAAGACTCGCGGCCAATTTTGTTTTTCTGGCTCCTTTTTCCGCCCGCTACGTCCAGGCCCGCTCACCGCAACCCCAACCTACTGGGCGGGGCCTCCGGGGCCTGCGCCAGGATGTCCGCCAAGGGGACGGGGACCTCAGCCGTCGGGAGGGCACGCATCGCCCACCTTTCCAGAACGGCGCTGCAGACGGCGCGCTGCACGGCGTCGGGCGCCAGCGTGGTCGCGGGCCCCACGGGCATGGCCACAAGCCAAGCGCTCGCGTGCGGACCGGCCTGCGACCGCAGCATGGCCCGTGTGCTCGGGTCAACCGCCGGCAGCAGAACGCGCTCTTGGAAAACAGTGTGAAGTGCGAGAGCTGCATGCTGCTGCCAGCCATGTCCCCACACGCCGAGCTCCGCTGCTGCAGAGGGCGCTGCCGGCTGCAAGCAGTCTTCCCAGGACGGGCACGCCGCCCAGCTGGCCGCCCGCAAGTGCACCGCCGCCTTTCCAGCCGCGCGTATGTTGGGCGCATCCGCCACAGTTCCTGTTCCTGCTTGCAACTGGCGCAAGCACCGCTCCATCGCGGGCCGGCACCGCTGGTGCAGGACGGGCAGCGCGTCTGCCCAAGCTGTCCACTAGGCGGCGAAAGGCGCTTCGCAGGCGCCAAGCCGAGGCCGCCGAACTTGCCACGCATCGGACCGAGGGTCGTCATCGCCCCGCATGGACGCGAGTGTGCGCCATACGGCATCTTCTTGCGCACGTGCACAAGGGGCAACGGACGCCGGCGGCAGGTTGCGGAGCAGGTGTTGTGCTCGAGGCGCCGCACAAAAGCGAGCAAAAGCCACGCGCACTGCAAATCGGGGAGCTGCGGCAGGTGGCGTAGCAGACTGAGTTCTTCCTCCACACGGCTGGCGGCTTGCGCTTGGACGTACTCTTCGTGCCCGATGAAAACCCCCAACGCGACGAACCCGCGTTCAGCGGGCGGCTTGCCCCCCCTCCAGACCGCCTCGCCGAGGGCAGCGATGCCGCGGCGCCTCGCCCCCCGCGGCGTCTTGCCTAGGTTGGCAGCGACACTTGCGTCCCGTTCGACGCGCGCCGTGACGCCATCGACCCTGCAGTGGCTTGTTCGCGCCACTGCCCCACAATATGTCCCGCGTTGCGCTCGCTGCCGCGCGCTATCCCGAGCTTACGCGGGGGGGCCCGCAAAGAGTTGTCGTCCTGGCTGCAAAGCTCGGCGGTCGCTGGAGCTATGGTTGTGCTGGGCTCCCCTGTAGGCCGCACGGATTTCGTGCATGCCTGGGCGGTGAACCGCAACAACTCCTGCAGCAACTGCCCCAGCTCCCTGACCTGCAATGTTCATGGGCCAGTGAGTATCTTTTCGTTTCCATGTGAGTCTTTGCGGGCTTGCATCATTGGACTGCTTAATCTGGTGATCTTGTCGGGTTTTTTACCACGCATGTGGAGTACACTGGTGGTTCGCCCACTCCTCAAACCTGGCAAGCCGAAAAATCGCATTGAGTATCATTGAGTCTCATAGACCGGTTTCATTGATGCCGCTGGGTTTGAAGCTATTGGACCGGATTATGTTCCGCCGCATTTGGCCTGCAATCCAACATCAAGCCCTGCCCTGGCAGCTTGGTGGTAGTCGTGGACCTGACCTTGCCGTAGCTTTCTTCGGTCATCTCCTACGACTAAGGGTGCAGCGCAGGGCCGAATGGGTGGTGACCTTCTTGGATGGCCAATCGGCCTTTTGCCGTCCTCCATTCTTAGCAGTCAAAGCTAATTTGCGTCGGTTGCCTGAAGTAACAATTTTGGCTCAAGGCTCAAGGCTCAAGCGGGAGGGGGTAGTATGCTACTGTGTTCCGAGTGCTGGAGATCTGATGCCGTTGTCAGAAGAGCAAACCAAACTGCTCAAGAGCGACAGCACAATCATCAATTTATTGGCCGAGAATCCCAAAAAGGTGGGCTCAAAAGCCTGGGAAAGGTACGAGAAATACAAAGCAGCAACGACAGTGGGGGATGCTACCCGTTTAGGGGCGCAGTGGCAGGATCTTAGTGCCGATTTCGAAAAAGAGTATTTGCACTTCAAGGATGTGGATATGAATCCCGCAGTCAAAAGGGCAGCGCCAGAGGGCACTCCTGACAGGGAAGGCAATGCTAGAGCCAAAAAAAAGCCAAAGCCATCGTCAACACCTCTTGCGCTCACCCACAGCAGCGGCTCCAACGTCAATCAGGTTCAAATGAGTGCTGCCACCTTGTCCGCATTGCGAGCCATGATGAGGGAGGAACTCGCGCTTGGCATCATGGATGTGGAAGCACGTCTTTCGCGCACTATGGAAAACATCTTTGGGCGCTTGCACACCCAAATTGCAAGTGAGCGAGAGGAACGCCAACAGTTGGAGGACCGAGTCCGTCAACTCGAGCAGAAATTGCCAGTTCCGCTCCTGAATGCTAGTGTCGATGAAGTTGACAAGTCCATCGCAGTTGTGGGGGGTTTTGGGGACCGGCCGGTTGAAGAAGCAGAGAGTCTTTTGAAGGAGTTGCTTGCAGAAGTATGCAGAAGTGGAAGGGTTTCAGTCGCTTGCCATGACGGGAAGTGAGCCAACCCTTGGTTTAGCACAGTTTGCGTTTCCTGCCAGCGCTATGAAGTTCATTCGCTCACAAAAGAGACATCAGGGTCTCCAAGATGCAAATCTGTGGGCCGCAAAGAACCGATCACGCGCAGAGCGCTGCAGGTCGAAGGTTGTTAGCAAATTGAAGAAGCATCTGATTGAGCTGGGCGGCTTCAGTCCTGCAAATATAAACTGTTCAAGGTAGTTTTTTTTTCGCATGAAGGGCGGCCATGATAATTGGACATGTGAGCGCTACGGCGATGGTGCCAAAGTTCAGATAGTTTTTCTCACTTGCGCAATTGCATGTTGATGTTTTGGATGCATGGAACGATTTTGCATTGCCAACTGGTATCGATCACAGATGTGTGCATTGCATTGTTGGCATAGATATGCCAAAACGTCCTGCAAAACGCAAGTCACGTACGAATCACAAAGGTTGGACCCCGCATGTTGATGAGTTTGGTCGCGCAGCCATTTTTCACGATGAGTTGACAACATGGTTACGGAACACTTCAGAACCCACGTTCGAGCAGTTAAAGGGTGCGCTGGGCAAAGCTGGGCTGAAAGGTGGTTGTTCTTTTGAAAAACGTTGCAAGTTCAAACCTTCAAACGCGTTGCGACAACTACGTTGCAGACGCCGTTTAGCACCCGATTTGAACGAACGTCGGGACTTGAGTCTTCAAATCCGGAAGACGCATGCTCGTGAGCTTTCTTTCCGCGTTCAAGCCGAGAAGGTGTGCGCAATACTTGCAAAGTACCAAGCACTGGAAAGCGCTTGGGAGGTTACAGCTTGCGCCCCGTCAGTTGCCCATTCCCCCCGATGATTTTGCTGACATGTTGTCACGTTTGTTTTCTGGCGCGGTGGTGGAACCTGTAAAGCCAGCTTTTTTGGAGGATGCCCACTTTTCGATGCACGAGTTGACGAAGGCAATCCGAAATCTAAAGTTAAACAAGGCCTGTGATGATTGCGGATTGTCAGCTGAGCTTTTGCAGAATGCACCTCACACACTGTTGGAGGTCCTGCTTGGCCTATTCAATCACGTTTTTTCGACTGGTGATGTGCCATCCACTTGGCGAACGACGTTGTTCCGCATGTTGGCAAAAACGCCAAAAGCAAAAACAACTGGTGATTATCGTCCTATTGCGAATCTACGCTTGCTGTACAAAGTGTTTTCCTATATGATCTTGCAGAGGATTGAACCGGTATTAGATGTTGCGCAACCCGAATCGCAACTTGGTTTCAGAGCTCACCGTCGAATTGATGAACATTTATTGACGGCAAGCAGTATTGTCGACAAAAGCAGGGAATCAAACATGCCCATCTGGATCCTAAGCATGGATTTGTCGAAAGCATTTGACCGAGTTGACTGGCAAAGCTTATGGCAAGCTCTTCGTGCCCAAGGAGTGTCTGAACAGATCGTTTGGATATTACAGTGCATGTATTCTGACCAGTGCGGCGAGGTCGTCACGTGCAATGAACATAGCAAGCGGTTTGATATTCGTGCGGGCGTGCGTCAAGGTTGTGTTCTCAGCCCGCGCTTATTTTGTGCAGCTTTAGAATGGGGTATGCGTGCGTGGCGATTGAACGGCCAGCCTTCCGGGCTTGTCCTGCAAGAGGAGAGGCGCCTGACCTGCACGAGGTCCTCGCTGAGGTCCGCGGTGGCCCCGCACTGCTCGCAAGCCGCCTCCCGGCGCCTCGAACCGGCCCGTAGTTGGTAGGCTTCTTGCACAGGGACCGCGGCGACCGTTCGTAAAAAGGCGTGGGGGGAAAAAAAAAAAAGAGGATCGCGACCCATTGACTGATTTGAGATTCGCTGATGACATTCTATTTTTTGCGCTTTCCCGCTTGCAATGCACGGATATGTTGCGATCCTTGGTTGATGCGCTGAGAAGCGTTGGACTTCTTCTCAATGCAAAAAAAACCAAATTTCTTACAACCGAGGCACAGCCGCCGGATCTGATCTGGTTGGACATTGATACTTGCATCGAAGTTGTTCGCACTTGCCACAAATGGTTGGGATGTTTTCTCTCAATGTCAGGCACTCATGATGCAGATGTGGATTTCCATGTGTCATCTGCATCCCGCGCGTTCTGGGCTAACAAATGGCTTCTTTGTGATGTAAACGTGTCCCAGCAGCGTTGCGCATCAGATACTTTGAGGCAGTTGTGACTCCTGTCGCGTGCTTTGGTGCAGGGCATCGCAAGATTTATCATCATCACCTACGTCAGTTTGACTGTGAATGGCGACGTTTGCTTCGCACTTTGCTTGGTCCACCACCCGGCGTCGATTGGAGTTTGCCATGGCATGAGATTTTGCACCTTTGGAACGAGCGCGTGCGTGACTTCCAACAACGGCTTCATTTGCAAAGCTGGTCTGAAACATGCCTCAAGCATTACTGGAGATTTGCTCGTCATGTGAGCTGCGTACCATCCAACAGATGGATCAAACGCGTTATGGAATGGATACCTCCTGGAAGTCGCGTTCGCGGCCGGCCTCGAAATTCCTGGGCCTCACATTTGGAAGCTTTCGCGCGTACTATGGGGTGGGAAAGGTGGATGGACCGTGCAAAAAACGACACCAATTGGGAGAATCATTTTGCTGCTTTCCTCGCGTTTGTACAGCAATAATGTCCGAGCTCATGACGTCAAGTAGATGTTGTAGCTTTGACAAGCGAGTGTTACAATGTCACTTGCTGTGTTGAATGTTTGCCTGCGCCCCAGAGGGGCTGCCTATCGGCTTGCAGGTCTCATTCACTCACTTGCCTGAAGTCCGCGCTGTTTTTTTTTTTTTTTTTTTTTTTTGCCATCATACATACCATTTTGTCCAACCTCCATTCCACATCTTTGGATCCCTGATGGGTGGAGTCCGAAATGAAGTAGGTTTACCTCAAGGTGGTGCTTTATCAACGGCTCTATTTGTGTTGTGTTTATGCCTTTGTATGACGCGATGACGCTGGCCTGGGATGCGCAATCGATGTATGTGGTGATCTGGTCTCGTTTCCAGCTGCGGGCTTTGTTGATGCCATGGTGCTTTTGGCAGAGAATTTCGACGCATCTCAAAAAGCATTACATGAAGCCGCCCAATGGGCTCGCAGCATACGTATGTCTTTCAACTTGGGTACGGACAAGTCAGCGTGCTTCGCTTCCCTTCCCTTTCACGTGCCCATGGCTGACCTACTCCTTGATGGCCAGCCCTTGCCTCAAGTTGAAGAATATCGTTACTTGGCTGCATTGCTCACGGCTTCTGGAAATGTCGCTCGAACCTTGTGGATGATTTGGAACAGCGTGTGCTTCGCAAAACGGGCCCTTGGTGGCATGGGCTCGCGCAAACCAGATTCCGTCCTCCTTCCTCGGCAAAGTCTGGAAACTGTGTGTTGAGCCTAACGTGTGGTGGCTTCTTGTCCTCAGGCAAATCGTGTGGACTTGCTTCAACGCAAGGTTGCTCGCATGCTATTGGGCCACTCGAAGCGATCACCAACACCTTCCGCGTTGGCGTGCTTGGGATGGGTACCTTGGTCCCACTTTTGCGCGACGGTTCGCATGAGCTTGTTAGTTCGTGTGATGCGCGACCCAGGCAATCTCATGGCGAGGCTCTTGCCCGTGGCTGAAAAGGTGCCTGGAACTTGGGCCCATCAGGTGTGTGAAGATATTGATCACGCGTTCGCCCTGAATGTCGTACGCGACCGCCCGGATTGGGTACAACTACAAGCTGATATCAAACGGCACCATGCTTCCTGTGCAGACTTGGGGTGGCAACAGCTCCTTCGTAGATGCGGTGAGCATCTTTGCCTCCCCCACATCCCCTATGTGTGGGCTCAGCAAAAGCAACACCCGGTTGCCATTGCTTCTGTCTTTGAAGTGCCATCTGTATGCGTGCATCAATTTACTCTTCTGCTCAGGCTTTTCTGTGGCGGTCAAGGGTTGCGTGGCAGAGATGGGAACCATTGGCAAGCTGCTACAAGCCAGAACTGTTGCGTATATTGATTGCCTTTGGCATGGACGTAAAGCTGTGGAAACCCTGCGGCGCTTCTTGTTGGTATGCCCACTCACGTCCTACGCGAACGCTGGTTTGCCCGAGGTGATTCTGGCCAACTTGGCCCGTCCCCATTTGTGGATGGACATGCCAACCTCTCATAGGAAGGCCCTCATTCGAGCGGTGAACAAGAAACGGCAGTTACGCAAAGCATGGCTCTGCGAGACGCAATTGAACAAGCTTAAGAGATGCGTTGTTGGCTCAGCACTGGTCTTGCGTTGTGCCCTGAGATCTGTTTCTACCAGCTTTAGCTTCTGCTGGCTGCCCGCTGAAGCCCAAGTGCTTCAGACTGACAGTTTGCAGTGAGCTCAAAGACGCTCACCGAGTGCAACATGCTACAGGCCTCATGAATAAAAACAAAAACCCGCCAGAGGACGTAGGACTGTACGTGCAGGCCCTTAACATCCCTTAACGCAGCGGTTTAGGAGGTCGTCGAGCGTTTGCTTGGCGGCAGGGGGCCCTCGCGCTCTGCGCGTCTCCGCGCGCGAACCACGCGCTGCGCACAGTGCCCCCAACCGCCATTGCTTCGTATGCCGCAGGCCACGACGATGCCATCTGGCACACGCTACTGGACTGCTTGGGCGGTGAGGCAGGGGCCCCACCAGGGGATGCGCACCTCGCGCGGGCGACCGCTTTCCTGCCAGCAGCGTTAGGTGGCTTAGTCGGCGACGCGCTCGGCGCCGGCGGCTTACTGGGCAGCCTGTTCGGACTCCTTGCCAGTCATGGGGGCCAGGCTATGCCAGGCTCCCAGTTTTTGCGGCGCGCTGCGTCGAAATACTCCAGCGGGGAGGGGCCGACATGGCGTGCCTTCGCCACGCGTGCCCCACATGGCAGGATGTAGCAGGAAACCAACGACCGGACCCAACCGCGGAACCTCAGCTGGGCGATTGGCCGCATGGATGGCAGCAACATGCATCGCGCGCTCGGAACTTGTACTTTCGCGAACGCGTGCTGCTGCCGTCATTGCCGCCTGCTCGTCGAGCAGTGTTACGGTCCCAATCTGGTCCCCATGCCGGCGCTTGGCTATCGGCGATTCCCGGTGACGCAACGACGACATTGCCACGGTCGCAGACTAGGCAGGTAGCCCTCCGCCGCAGGTTGTGGCTGCCGTTACAGCTTACCGCTGGCCAGTGCGGCCCCTCGCTGGGATGCGGGGGTCACATAGACGCGCTCGGCGACCACGCGCTGGCATGCCCGCGCTCTGGGCTGCTGGCGCGCCGGGCCAAAGTAGTCGAAAGGGCGTGGGTATGGATCGTTTGGGAAGCAGTCGGGCCCGAGGGACAACTGGTGCCCCAACAATGGTTGGGACACACCTCGGCACCCGGAGTCGCGGCAGATGACCGCAGGCGGCTGGACATGCATCGCGCTGTGCTGCGACGCTACCCTCGTGTCGCCCTTGGCGCGCACGGGGCAGCCGCAACCGTGCGCTGCCGACACGGATGGGGCAGCGCTCCGCGTTGCTGAACGACGCAAACAGGCGGCCTACCCGGAGCTCACGGGAGGCGGGCCCCAGCGGCTCGTCGTGCTCGGCTGGGAGGTCGGGGGTCGCTGGAATGGCGGGGCCCTGCGATTCATGCGCGACATGGTCCGCATCCGCGCATGCCGCGCGGCGCCAACAGTGCGCCGAGTGGCCGCATCCGGCTGGGCAAGACGTTGGTGGAGCATCATCTCGGTCGCCGTTCAACAGGCCGTGGGCACCACGGCCCTGGGTCGTACGTGGCCGTCCGCTTCGACCGCGGCCGACGAGCCTGCCCCACCGCTCGACCGTCTCCTGGAGCCTGGGCTGCCCGACCCAAGCCGGTTGCCATTGCGGGCGTAAAACGCTACACCGCGCTACACAACGGTACACCATCCTTCACAGCCCTAATTAGCCCTAATTACACAACGCTACGCAACCCTACACAACGCTACGCAACGCTGCACGAGGGTACACGACAAACAACGCTACACAATGCTACACAACGCTACGCAACACCACGCAACGCTACACAACGCTACACACGGCTACACACCGCTACGCAACGCATCACAACGCATCACAACCCTACACAACGCTACGCAACACTACGCAACACGACACAACGCTACACAAAATACAACACTCGATACACAACGCCACACAACAGTACACAACATTATACAAAACAACGCCACACGACTCTACACAACGCTACGCAACGCTACGCAACACCACACAACACTACGCAAAATCACACAAACGTACACAACTACACAACACTATACAACGCTGCCAAACGTTACTCAACACGACACAACACAACGCAACACTACACAGCACTGCCGTACACAACCCTACACAACGCTACACAACACTGCACAGCGCTACGCAACGCTACACAACGTTTTGCAACGCTACACAGCGCGACGCATAACTACGCAACACTACACAATTTTTACACCACACAACATTACACAACATTACACCGCATCACACACCACTACACACCACTACACAACATTACACAACACAACACAACACTACACAACACTACACAACACTACACAACATTCCACAACACTACACAACATTACACAACATTACACAACATTACACAACGCACGACGCGCTACGCAACGGTACCCTACACAACGCCACACAACCCGAATTTCATAGCGCTACGCAACCTTACACAACCACTATGCAACACGATCCAACACTATGCAACACTATGCAACACTATCCAACACTATGCAACACTATGCAACACTATGCAACACTATGCAACACTATGCAACGCTACACAAGGCTACGCAACACTACGCAACACCACACAACACTACGCAACACTACGCAACACACGACGCAACTCTGCGCAACACAACACAACACTACACAACGCTACACCGCGCTACACAACGGTACACCACCCTACACAGCCCTAATTACACAACGCCACGCAACCCTACACAACGCTACGCAAACGCTACACGAGGGTACACAACAAACAACGCTACACAACGCTACGCAACACCACGCAACGCTACACAGCGCTACACAGCGCTACACACGGCTACACACCGCTACACAACGCATCACAACACATCACAACCCTACACAACGCTACGCAACACTACGCAACACGACACAACGCTACGCAAAAAAAAACACAACACTCGGGCCACGAGCCGGAACTCGACCGGGTGCTGGAGCTGGCCGACCCGGAAGGCCCGAGCTGGCTGCGGCAGGCACGCAGGTGACCACGGATCTCGCATGTGGGACCAAAAAAACACAACACTACACAGCGCTGCGCAACGCAACGCAACGCTACACAACGCTACACACCACTACACAATGCTACGGACAACAATACGCATCACAACACAACACTACACAATATTACACCACACAACACTACACAATCCTAAACAACACTACACAACACTACACAACACTACACAACACTACACAACAACACTACACAACAACACTACACAACAACACTACACAACAACACTACACAACAACACTACACAACAACACTACACAACAACACTACACAACAACACTACACAACAACACTACACAACACTACTACACAACACTACACAACAACACTACACAACAACACTACACAACAACACTACACAACAACACTACACAACAACACTACACAACAACACTACACAACAACACTACACAACAACACTACACAACAACACTACACAACAACACTACACAACAACACTACACAACAACACTACACAACAACACTACACAACAACACTACACAACAACACTACACAACACTACTACACAACACTACACAACACTACACAACACTACACAACACTACACAACACTACGCAACATTACGCTACACAACGTTACAGTACACAACACTACACAACGTAACGCTACCTGACGCGCGCTCTGCCCCGCGGCCCGTCTTCCCGCAACGACGAATCAGCCGAGACCCTCCGGGGCTGGCAGCGTGGAGCCGCCCATGCTTGCGATGAGCGCGCGCTTGAGACGCACCTTGCTGATCTTTCACCCGCGTCACAAGCGCTGCTGTCACAAGCTGGACCGCACGCTGCGAGAGTCTTCACGGTTCTGCCCACGTCAGACATTGTTGCCGTGCCTGACCCGCACTTTCGCGTCCTGCTGTTGCGGCGACTCCGCCTGCCCCTTCCCCTCGGTCCGCGCGCCTGCTCCTGCCGTGGCCTCCTTGACGAGTACGGAGATCACCGCGCCGCCTGCTCCAACTTTGGAGTCCTTGCATCCCGCGCGCTGCCCCTTGAACGCGCTGTAGCCCGGGTTTGCCAGGAGGCCGGCGCGCGAGTCGGGCGCAACGTCGCCTTGTCGGCCATGAACCTCGACGTGCCTGTCCACGACGCACGGCGAATCGAAATCGTGTGCAACTGCCTCAACTTGTGGCACGGCGCGCAGCTCGCGGTCGATGCGACCCGCTGGAAGTCGGGGGGCGCTGGGACTCTGAGGCTGCCACCTTCGTTCGCATCCTTGCTCGTGCGCGGGCGGCCGGCACCCCCGCCGTGTTGAGGGCTGCCCAGGCTGCGTGGGTCCTTCGGTGGAGTGGCGTCATCTCCGTCGCTGCGCAGAGCGCGCTTGCGGCTACCTTCCTCGAGCTCCCCGTCCCGTCTGAGCCCTGAGCCCTGTGCGCTGGCCCACCCCCAACCTTGCATGAGCTCCTGACTGACGCTCGATGGAGCGAGGCCCCAGCACCGAGCCGTCTGCCCGGCCGGGCCTAGGTCCCTGCCCCGGGCCCGTGGCGGTGAGGCCCCTCCCTCCCGACCCCGACCCGCGCGAAGACATACTACGGAAAAAGGCGTGTGGAGAAAAAAAGCACAACGCTACACAACACTACGCAACGCTACACGAACACTACATATAACACTACGCAACCCTTCTGCAACACCGCAACACTTATGCAACGCTACACAACGCTACGCAACATTATGCAACGCTACCCAACACTAAACAACGCTACACCAGGCTACATGGCCGTGTGCCAAAATGAATTGCTTGTAACAGGGTCTTGGCCCACACACGCCAAATACCCCATTACATAGGGTATGTATCAGGCCCGGGGTTTGCGACAGACCTACTTGTTGTTGTATTGTTTCTTCTTTTGATTTCTAGTCGTGCATGCGCGCGACAGAGGTCTGTATTAAGTCGGGTGTTACGGGTCTGTAACAGATGGTCCGGTTTCGCTCGCGAACTGCGACAACCGGGGGTTTTGGCACACGGCCACACTATGGTACGCAATGCTACATAACACTTCACAATACTATGCAGGACTACATAACACTACACACAACACCACACA